GCAGGAACTGGTTTGGTGGGAGCCGCGAGGTGGTCCGCTGGTACCTCTCGGTGTACGCCGGCACGCCGCGTTCGGCGGTATACGCTGGCACGTTGTCGCGCGAGTATATTCATGCCAGTGGCGGGAGTCCCCGAGGGAAGCCGGTGGGGCCTCCTCGCTCACTTCGCCGACAAGTGATCGTTTACAGTTATAGTCAGTCCGCATTGGGCGCTCGACCGGCCCTGGCTGTATCGGCAGACCCGTAGCCCGCTGATAAAGTTTCGCTCCCGAGACTGTCTCTGTAGATACGCGCCTCACCGGAGCCTCTCCTTCCGAGACCCTTTCTCTCTCCCTTTCCCGAGATAGCAGGTCGCAGTCCTGCCCGAACATCAGTGATTAGGGCCCTCCACCCCTTCCTCTCTTTGCCCCCCCCTCCCCCCTCTCTTTCTCTCCTCGGAATATCCTTATCAACGTCACCGATAATCGTTGTCGATGTAACGACGCTTATTACCTCGCTGAACTTGACAGCAGCGAGACAATCGACGGGCCTACCGGTGAAACGTCGCAGGCGGCGGGTTCGTGGGTTAAAAGTAACGAATGATGATTTAGTGGCAAGATCAAAGTGAGTGTCTCGTGAAAGGAAAAGTGTGCGGGACGTTCGGCGGTAAAAAGCGCGCTGGTGCCCGGACGCAGATTTCAGTGAGCGTGGTGCCACTCGTACGTTTGCATTTACACGGGGGCACTGATGGAGAATAATCGGCCGACGAGGTAAATACATTTTTATTTTGTCCCGATCGCGGCGCGAGACAGCGACGAGCGAGCGTGGAGCGAACACGTCCGCACTTTTGCGCCGCTCCGGAATGCGGCCGCCTCGCGATCCGGAACTGCACAACGCACCTCCGACGGCGTTAATCGGAGAGACCTCGTTCCGCGGGCTCGCTCGCCGACGTATATAATATCTACGAAGAAAAAGGAAAGAGGAAAAAAATGAACGGAAGCGGAATGAAATTTTCCACGGCTTTCCTCGCGCGCGGCACGTGTTTCCCCCGTTTCTCGGAAATGCGGAAATGTTTGAGACCGCGGTTTGCGCAAGAGCGAGCGATTTTCCTCAAGTTTCCAGCGAGATAGGATGAAATTATTCGAAAGTTTAATTGCGCTCTCCCGACGGCGTTCTTCGCGAGCCGCGTTTTTGAACCCGAAGAAAAAGATTTCCGAGCGGGAAATCAGACCGATGCCTTACGTAGCGAGGCGGCGTGGCGCGGCGTGGCGGATGCACGTAAATCATAACGTGGCACCCGAAGGTTATCGTTCGGCGTTAATTGATCGTTGGACGACTCGATTACATATAAAGAGCCTCGTAATAGATGCGCTCGTTGCGCTGAAATTTTCGAGAAAAATTAAAACCACGAAATCAAACGTTTCCTGTCGCTGTTTACGTCGCCCTTGACACTTTATCCGATAAGCGCACACTTTTCTCCCGAGCGTCAAGAGCGAGCCGAGTATATCTGTACTGATAATAAAAGCAAATTAATGCTCGATAATACGAATAAATGGCAATCAAAATGGCGTGCGAAATGTTGTTTTCGAACGGACTCCAACAAAAACAATTTCGATAAGAGGACGCTGGAACTTTTCATAGTTTACCGTCTCTGTGTTAATGCAGATAAATGTATATATATATATATATATATATGTATAATATTTGTAAATAAAAAAAAACAAGAGCTAGTAAATTAATTAAAACTTTACAGGACTTATACAAATAGCTTATATAATTCTGATATATATATATATATATATATTATTTTTTTTTATTTTATTATATTACGTATGTATGTATATGTATGTGC